ATAATAATAATAAAAAAAAACGTTTAGGGGTAGAAGCTTTGGTTTTTGGACTTTAGGAAATGTACAAATTCTTCTCCCAGCACATCTCATGCAAATCAGCAGGTTAAAATAAACCCAGAGGAGTGTCTTACAGGTACCTTGCCCTGTAAAATGATCAATTTATTTAGAAACTCCCCGTGATTTAAATATTCAACAGTTCAATCAAGTAGTTAAGAATGCATATTTTCTTTTTAATCGTTTTTTTGGGTGAATATAAGGTTCTGTACAGAGTGAGGATGGTGACGGAGAGAAGGAGGAAGAGGATGTTGTGAAGGCAGGTTGTAACTGACCAAACCACTCATCCACCCAGCAGGGAGGCGGACACACGCATTTCCATCATTTACTATGCTGTCAACCAGTCGCACGTAGTGACAGACCCTCCCACTAACTCTTCGTGTCCGTTTTTTTTTTAATGAGCAGCCATAACCTTGAGAAAACACGACCCAGCTTAAATAACCGCCGCTTCCTCCACCGTCTCTGTGACCGAGCGAGGCGCCCAGGAGGCCGTGTTCCGTCCGTCTTTGGCAGCTGGGACCGTTAGCGGCTAACAGGCTAGCAGGTAAGTCATCTTCACGCGTCGTGTATGTTTAAACCCACACTGCCTGCTGGTGGCATGCTTATTTATCATGTGTCAACCGGACGCGGTGTGTGTCTGTTAAATATTTAAAAGCGTTTAGTGGTGAAACTGGGGTTAGCTTTGGCATATAGCTAGTTAGCCCGCTAGCTAATCCATCCGTGGCGCAGGAGAGCCACACACGGGAGGTGAGAGGATGCTTATAAAGGACAATTAAACTCAGACTGCTCGCTATGAATCTAAAAGAGATAGCTCTACCACGGTGATACGACGGGCTGTCGATGCATAAGCCACAGCCTTATCATATTTAAATATTATCTCATGTTAGCTGACTATCTGCCAGCGATTCTTCTTATAATTTAGTTTAGAAATCTCACTGCAGCTTATACACCAGCTCGCTCTCTGCGGTTATACATTGAATATTGACACAGTAGATAGATTTTATAACCTATTGGTCACGAACTGGCATGTGGTAGACTTTCCGAAGGATGTAGAGATAAGATGTTTAATTTGAATGGGTGTTATTGTTAGCTAAATATAGCCAGCTTTTCAGAAACATCGCGCTGTGACGGCTGCGTTTTTTAATATACATTTATAACCAGAGGCGTAGCCAGAAAATCCTAATAGGGGCGGTCAGTCAATAACCAATGTACATGGAGGGGTGGCCGAAAGGCACCAGAACCTCAGGGTCAATCTAAACAGATCCAACAGGAAAAACCACAACATCCATATTTTCTAAATAAAGACAAACTACTTTCTTGCAGCCTTTGCTAACAAATTGGCTTTACTGTGTAAATAAAAACTTTGGGTGGACAAAATTCTTTCAGGTTTGAGTTCTGGGGGGAACATATTTTAATCATCATTACCTACTTTTATCAATAATCCTTCTACAAAAAAAAAAAGGATATTTAAATTTACTAATATCCACATTTAATGAATTTATATGTTATTATTAAAGTAGTTATTTATGATTTTACTGAAGACTCCTAGATTACTTGCAGAGGCACATAATTTTATCTTTACCCCAAATAATTTAAAATTTTGTTCTGAAAAGAGCATGAATTCTGTATCTATCATCTTTAATGTTTGTATATTGATGTGCATAATTAACCGCAGTGTTTCTGTTGTCAAGTAGCTGTTAATATATGAAAAATTTAAATGATTAATAAGTTTTAACATTCCCCTTCAGAGGATTACTGCTGCCACAGACTGTATTTAAAGGAAAAAATGGTAGGGGTGGCCAATGATCAGCTAAAGAGGTCCATGGCCACCCCCTGGCCCCCATCTAGCTAAGTCCCTGTTTATAATGTAGATTACATATTCTTTAAGTTAGAAATGAGATGCAGACGGTCGGCTCTGAGGACAAAATGTACACAGAGACACATTGACTAAAGGATAGAATCATTTTAGTTTGTCTGGGAATTAATTGTGAGGATTAATGAATCATTAGCGGTGCTTCGGAGCACGATCCTCTTCTGGTTTACAATAAAGGACATTTTTAGTACAACTCAACTGGTGTATGAGCTTGTAAAATATTTATATAACCTTGTCTTACTCTGTTGTTGGAACAGCTTGGTATGTGCATGACCCCTACTGTTGCCTACTTAAATCCAGCTTCAAAGTCCCCATGCATGAATTAGTTTGGATTTAGGTTTAGTTATTTTCTAAATCTTGAAAATAACTGAACTTGAGGGAAAACATAAACAGCTTGAAGAAGTAGTTGGATGTTCACCATCCACTCCTTATGTTGTTCCTTTATCTTTTGGCCGCGTCGAGGACTAAGGCCTCCATACATGGGTCATGCGGACTAACCACCGCACCACCTGCAAATGTATTGCGATACTTTTGTGCGGAACTGCTTCCGGTAAATCGTAAAACCGAATGTACGTAAAAGAAGCTTGAGGTGGAGAAAAAGCTAGAGAATGGGAAAATGCAAATTTCATCAACAGTGACTGGAAATCAAGGGATTTTGGGCATGTCTGCAGCCTGTCCACAGTAAAGATGACGAAGGATTTTGGCATATTTTTATATATATATATATATATATATATATATATATATATATATATATATAATCATGGGTGTCATATCAAGGGTACTTGTTGATGGCATTTAAATTATTTCTAAGAACATTAAAAAAGCATTATAAGCACTAAATTAGAGTCACGTATTCCTGTATAAACTCTGTGAGAGCGTGCACAAGCCCATTTCTCCTCATGCAAGCTCTGTTTAAAAGTTGCTGTTCTCATAGCTCATAGAAGCTTACTGTGTCCGAATGTCCGCTCTAACCCCTAAATCCCTCAGTCACTATATAGAGCGGGGACTATATAGTGGACTTAATAGTGAACTCAGTTAACTGACCGTTCTGACAGATGATCACTGCTTTTTGCTCCCCGTTGGTCACGTGACTCATTCTCCCTACGTGGTGTCTACGCCATCTTTGTTATTAGTCCCCGCTGTCTGGTAGTGACAGCCTATGGCAACAGCGGGCCACTGTGACAGCAAATCCCATAATGCTTTGCGAGGAGAGCTCTATGTGCAAAGCATTCCGGCATATATCTGCTTCTTCTGAGGCCTTTTCTTCTCATACACTTCATAAACAGTTTTCTCTCATGAACCTCGGCCATTTTCAAAGAACCTTAGTGAGAAAGGTGAGCTTCAATGACTGTCTGAAACCGTAGCTCACCACGCATATACGCCTGAAAGTGGGCAGAAAAAGATAACTTACGGGATGAGCACGTAGGCCGGCCTTACCTAAACATATTAGGAGGAATTAGGAGGACCACTTATATAGATGGTCCACCCAGAAATAAAAGTCGTACTCTATACCTTTTAACAGATCTTAAAAATGCTTTATGGAGTTTTCTAAAGATACTGCCTCCTGTGGCCAAACACAGAACTGCATCACTCTTCAGTTTGTTCTTCTAGCTCAAACTTATCAAGGTTTTTTAACAATCTTTTTTCACCTTATGTGGAGTTGCTATTGGTGTCTTAGTTGAGATGAATGCAGTTCGCTTCTGAGCATCCACATTATCATCTTAGAAAGTTTAGATTGTTTGCTAGGTTGATCGCATTTAACATGGATCCGCTTGGAATCACATACGCTAAATGGCTGACCAGAAGTAAATAAAGGAAAATAGGCTGCAGGCTTATAGATAGATCAACCCTGAACTGCTTAGGTGTCAGTTTGCTAATTTTACCCTCAAATGGTAAAGCTATTTTAAGATATTTTTCAGTGAAAACACAACATAGTGTCGCTTTAAAGGACTAAGAACTCTATAAATCTAATTGTGGAAAAGTGTGGCACTTTTAACATAGGAGGGATTGGGGGAATATTAAACATAACTAAGAATTTAGCCTACATGATTTGATCAAAAAATAAAAGCATTTGTGCATACTGCATCCTTATTTATTACAAATTTAATTTATTTTTGTGTGTAGTTTTGCAAGTCCCAGAATCATATTACCTTTGGAATCTACTTATGGTGATATACATTTCAAATAAACTCAGTCAAAGTAGATATTAGATTTCTTTCATAGAAAGGTGAATCACAACTATTGATATACATTTTTGCTATAATTAAGATTCCAATAAATGGAGCACCTTGAGGAAAATAACCTTTTATTTAAACATATTTTATACCTTTTTATGTCTCAGAAGCATCAGAATGGCAGTCACTATCTAATACACATTTTCTGGGATACAAGAACAAATTTATTTAACATTAGTGGGTAACAGCGAAGGTCACTGCAGACTGATACATTACATTTTGACACTCTTCTGCCAGTTAAGATACAGAAACAAAAACATTCTGATGAAATAAAGTGAAGTGGTGACTTTACCATTAATTGCATTTGCAATGTAATCACAATTTGAAATGCAATTTATGAATTGAAGCGACACACAACTATGTTCACGCTTGCATGTAAGGGTGGTAAAAAAACGAACTTTCTAAAGGTGCGTTCACACTGAACACGAACTCGGCTAAAATTTTGCTGTTGCTTTATCGCTTTGTCCACATAGTTTTCTCGCTGCGCTTCTTCAGTGTTGCTCACAGCCAAATCTATTCCCTGACAGGATTTCACAGGTGAATGAAATCAAAATTTCAGTTTTAGACTTAATTCGCAGGCCAGACTGCGGTAATCTGATGTTGCTAAATTGATGTTGAAATTGTGTTGTTCCCCGCTCTACATTCGCCACTGTCGCCTCGCTCAGCTTCGCTCCGCTTCAGATCCGACCTCTACATAGAGGTAACAGGGCAATCCTTTTCTTCAGCTGCGAAATTCACATTTGGTGTGAATGTACCTTCACTGGTGGTAGGTTTACAGTGGGTTTGCCACCACACAGAGGGATAGAGAGAGGTGGAGCTAGCACGCAGATCCATGACTGCAAGTTGAAGTAAACACTTTTCCATGTGATAAAAAAAGTCCACTGACTTTAAACAAGAGAGCATTTAGATTTATCTAAGCAATGAAACCCTGGTGGTAAAAAAAAAATAATTTAAATCTTTGTCTAAATTGCAAAGCCCTAATTTACCAATACATTTTTATATATTTACTATGCAGATAGGGTGGATAGGATAGAATAGATTGAAGGAAATTAAAAACTGTTGTGTTCACTAGCATCATTTCCAATCTTAAAGAACTGGATAGAAACTTAAAGAACATTTTTTTTCTTTACAAAAAAGATAAAGGGCAGCTCTGTTGTAAAACATGTCCAGATTTAAAACTATATATATAATAAAAAAAAAAAATAAAATAAAAAAAAAAAGACTGTTTCTTTGTTTATTTGATGGATAGAAAGAAACAATTTGATGCCAGTCTTTATAGCCAGTGGCAGATTCGCGACACCTGGCCCTAGAAGGAGTTTCATTTATAGAAGGTGTGTCTTGCTGCTGGTGTAAAAATGCATTCTTTGAAACAGTTTCTATGAAAATAAATTAAATTCCATATTAGCATTTTGTCTGTAATTTTTATGGCTTTGA